CAAGTCATGATATAATATGTTATACTTGACAACTTAAAAAAATGATTATAAATCATGCATTCGATATAATTTTAACAAATAACTATTAATAATATTCTAACTTAAAATCTTTTCATAAAAATAAATAAATTAAATCAATTAAATCAATCACTTATTAATCATTTTTATATTATTTTAACAAGCATCAGGTCACGGATTCAACAATCCAACCAACAGTTTAGGCCAATTTTGATAACTATTCTCTCTACTACAAGATTTGTCATTGTACCAGTAAGGCATGAAATGCAAGTAAAGAAAATCAATGACAAGGACAGTCTAGAATTGTGGAGATGTCCATCCGGTTAGGTAAAAGGAAGATTGGCATGACAAATATGTTATGGGTATAACTTATAAATGAAGGAATATGCCTTGTCAAATATGGAAATTTCTTAGATAGTTAGGGAATTAGATATAATCCTTCTAATTAGTATGTTATTAATCTTAAAAAGTTTCACAAATTCATAACTTTTAACCCAGTAGTAGTAGTAGTATTGGAAAGCTAGCTAGCTAGAATCAGAGTCAAAACTTTTAAAGTAATTTTTTAAATGTATTTATTATCTGATTTTTATTCAGTATCTGTCCTACAGCATCAGTTTACTTGTTTTTATTGCTTGTTTCAGGATGATAGTCCCAAAATTTTTTTTTCTTTTCTCATTCTAATTATTATATTATTATTGCAATTTATTGTAATATCTTTTTGTTTTAGAGTAATTAAAATTAAATATAATATTTCTTTTAATTAATGTGACATAAGTAAAATTCGTTAAAATTTTTATTAAAAATAATTAAATAAATTATATCAATATATTTAAATTAATTAAAAGTTGTTATTATATAAATTAAATGTGTAAATTTAAAAATATTTGAAAAAATTTTTATATATTTTTTTGGATTCATATTTTTAGTAAAAATATTTGTCGTAACGGTTTTATGTCCGTCTGATAAATTTAAAAACGAAATAAAAATAACGAAGTTACCACAAATCTTTTTTGGTTAAGTGCGATTGACCATCTATTAAAACATATCTTTTTAATGAAATCTTAAAATTAATTAAAATTTATTAAAAAGATAATTTTATGATCTACGAAATAGTCTAGGTTCGGGAGTCGGTTACGCGTGAGGAAGGATTAACACTCCCATAACGCCCGTTAAAAACGGTACCAATTAACAACGTGTTTATCCTTTGATTTTGATACAAACAGTCTTATTTTCAGTATTCGAAAAATAATTTTCTTGATTTTTTATTTATTAAAAAAAATTATTCTCGAGAAAAATAAATCAAAACATTTTTATTGAAATCATTCTTAAAATGGTCCAGTACGTTGGTAACATTAAATGAACTTTTTCTCACCTAGAGATTTCTTAAAGCATCTCTACTCGGATACTTTTAGAATCTCATCTTTGGGAGGTCTAAATTTACCTTCGTAAAAAATTATGTCATGTATGCAATACAAATAATAACATGTTGATGCACACATTTTATTCTTTTTCAAAAATTTTATTAATTGTTTTATTAATTTTTTAATTAAAATTTTGAAGAAAAAGGAATTTAATTATATTGAAGATTTTCTATAAATATTCCAATATGCTGGTAATATTTTACAAAAAAATCTTCTCACCTAGAGATTTCTTAAAGTATCTCTACTCGAAATACTTTTAGAATCCCATCATTGGATTAAATTTCTTTCCTTCCTATTTTTATTACATATATTTTTAATTTATTAATCAATTTTTATTTATTATTTAAAAAAAAGAAAATCTTTACTGTATTGAAAATTTTTTATAAATACTTTAATACACTGGTAGTATTTTAAAAAAAAATTTTTCATCTAGAGATTTTGTAAGCATCACTACTCGAAATACTTTTGAATCTCATCGTCGGATAAAAATTTTCTTTTCTTTCATTTTTTATTACTTTAGTATTATTATTAAATTTATTTTTATATTATTGTTTTTAAAGTTTATTTTAAAAAAATTAACATAATTATATAAAAAATTTAACCACAATTTCATCATTTAATTTAATAAATTTAAATATTTTAATATGCATAAGTATTAATAAAATAATATATAAAAAATAAGAAAAATTTAAAAAAAAAAAATTTTTTTAACTGAACTAGACCGGTCAACGCCGATTCGGCTCGACGGTTCGCTCGACGGTTCGGCTCAATCTAGGCGATTCAGTACCGGTTCAGTTCGATTTCGGTCCAGTCAGACCGATCAGTGGTTGATAAAGGAAGCGGATCGCAGGTCAGGTGTGCGGATTCCGGGTAGGGTTATGGGTTGACGCGTAGATCCTCAACGGTTAAAACGATGTCGTTTTGACCTTTAATGAAACGACGTCGTTTTGGTTCTGAGCTTTTATATAAAAGGTCCAAAAAATTTTTTTTTTCATTCCATTTTTTCGTTTCTCAAAAAAAAATGCCCTCCCTTTTTTTTTTCTCTCATTTCTTTTTCAGTCAGACGTCGGCCGGTCGACCCTGTCGCCGCCATTCTCTGGTCACCGGCCACTATCGTCGGTGGTCGAAAAATTTTCAAAAACACCCAAAAAATTCTTCTCGTCACTCTAAACACAGATCTGGGCTTGGTTTCTTTCGAAAGTAGCCCAAACAACCTAAAACAGCCTTCAAAGTTTCGATTGAAAAAACTTTTCTTTTGTTTGTGTGATTTCTGGTTTGTTTTTGTTGTGTGTTTTTGTAGGTATATTTTGGCGCTGGGTTCCTCGTTCCAGGGGACTGTTTTTGTATTTTTTTTTGTTTCTGCATAATTTTTTTTTGACAGAAGCTTTTCCTTTTTTTTTTTTTTGTTCCCTTCCTCCATTTGCCAATAACAAGCTCTATTTATAGAGCTTGTTGGGATTTAAATCCCAGATCTTCTGGGATTCGAATCTCATTTTTTAACTGAAAAATCACACCTGCCGTTTGTGATTGACGGCTTGTCGGTCGGCCGTTGACGACTAACGGCAGTGATTTTGGACTTTAGGGATTGTGCATTTAATGCACTAGATTTGAATCGGATAAGGATGAAGAAAAAGGAAAAAGAAAGGAAGAAGAAGACAAACGCAGAAACGGGAAGAAAAGAAATAGAAAAAGAAAAAGAAAGAAAAAAAAGAAAAAAAAAATAATAATAAATGGTGTTTACAGTTGACTCTCTTTGTCTATTTCTGTGAATCAGGAATAAGGCAAAGACAAACAAACAACCATTTTGCTTGAAAAGATGAAACATTGAGAAAAGAAAAAAAAAAATTTTTTTTGGTTCGACAGAAAAGAGTTCCTCTCAACAGAGGTTCAATCGATATTTTTAAAAGTTTAAAAGGCTCATCTCAGCAGATGCTTAATAACTTTAAAATTCTCTTGAAAAAACTCCTCTCAACAGAGGCTCAACAATTAAAATCTCATCTTAGAAAAGCTCATCTCAACAAAGGCTCAACAATTTTAAAATTCTCTTGAAAAAGCTCATCTCAACAGAGGCTCAACAACTTTAAAATTTCATCTTGAAAAAGCTCCTCAACAAAAAAAGGGAAATTTGGCTTTGAATTTTTGTTCCTTTTAATGTTAGTATTTTTATCTGAATGTTCGGGTAGAAACTACACATTTACAGCATGATGTGTACTTGAACCATGATGGTTATTTCAAAGTGAGTTTTGAAGAAAGTTAGCTAGTGTCATAGTTGGAGAAGTTGCAATAGGGAAATTTCTCACGAAACAAACAGTAAGAGTTATGGTTCTGATGCTTTATCTGTTTTATCAACTTCCAGATTTTCCTCGAAGACATTCCACTGGCAGAGAAAGTGTAGCTTCTTTGCGTGATCCCGACAAGGAAAACAGTACAGACCAGAATCCAAAACAAACAAGAGTCAGATCTTCAGCTCTTTCAAAGTGTACAAAGAATTTCATTTCACCGACTATCTCTGCTGCTTCAAAGATGAATGCATCCCCAAGAAAGAAAATCTTGGTCGAGAGAAATGAGTCAGTTCGATCTTCTGTTTTATTCTCTGATGTAAACAGCATGATCATGGAAGACAACGAGTCAGCGCCAGAGACTGCTTTCAAGCAGAAGAAGGTCTCATTCTCTGATGTTAAAAGCGTCATCATGGAGGATGAATCAACCCGGAAGATTGGTTTGAACCAGAAGAAGGTTTCTTTTTCTGATGTTAAAAGCATAATCATGGAAGATGAGTCCACTCCAGAGATTGGTTTGAACCAGAATAAGGTGTCATTCGCTGATGTAAAAAGTGTAGTCATGGAAGGTAACGAGCCAACTCCACAGATTGGTTTGCAGCAGAAGAATGTTGAGGTGCCTCATGATTCACAAAGCAGCAACCATGAATATGGGGAACCTTTGAAAAGCAACGCAGATTTTGATTATAAGGAGTCCAAGAATGATTCTGATTTGTCACTGGAGACTGTTACAGTGGAAAAGGATTCAGTTAATATGGATCCAAGCTTCAAGATTTCACCTTCATGCCCTGTTTTACCACCACTTGATGCAGATCCATCGATCCTTCCTTATGACCCTAAAACCAATTACCTTTCTCCAAGGCCTCAGTTTCTTCACTATAGACCAAATCGTCGGATTGAGCTTTATCGGGAAAGAGAAGACAAGCAGCTGGAGGAGCACTTTGCATCTGAAAGCTATTCAGACACTGATGTTACTGAAGAAACACAGTCTGAAGGTTCACAGAGAGAATCGGAGGATACTTCTTCAGAAGAAACAATGAAAGAAGGAGAAGAAGAGGAGGAGGAGCTTCATGTATCCGAAACAAATCCTATTGCCCCAGAAATGGTTGAAGGGCAATTCGTGGCTAAAAGAATGTGTAAGCCACGTTTTTCCACCAGATCAAAGTTCATTGCTTTGCTTCTGGTGCTGGCCTTTGCTTACTTTGCAGTCCTTGTAGCTAATTCTCCAGCCTTTACTTCTCCTGGATTGGAATTAAGCCTATTCAATTTTCACGTCCCACCAGAAGTCACTGAATTTGCAGAAGCTAATTTTGACCGTTTCACTCAAAATCTTCAGCACTGGTTGGTTAGCTTCTTGTCTTATGTTTCCAACATCATTTCCAGTTCAAGAGAAGTGCACAAACTGGGTTCCTTTGAATATGCTAATTTGAGTAATTTGCTAGAGGACCATTGGTTGAGGAGCACCACCTAATGTTTGATTACAGTGTAACAGAGCCTGTGAGGGAGAGAGATGCTGGAACTGAACTATTCGATGACAACTATTATCGAGAGACTGAAGCAGATGAGGCAGTAAATGAAGATGACGATGTAGAAGACCAAGAGAATGGAACTTTTGAAAACTTGGAACTGGATTCAGAAGGAGAACCTGATGAAGTACAGCAAGGAATTGAAGCTGAGATGATAGAACTGAATCAGTTAGAGGCAGAGGAGAGCAAAGGAGTTGAATTTGCTGCTCAGATTGATGCTGAACATCAAAGCAAGGTGGACCTTAAAGACCAGCCAAGCATAACCACACAGGCTACTGACATTCAACATGATATATCCAAAACTGGGGACCTTGAGGGTAATGACTTGAACAAAATGGCTGAAACTGTGTTCCCTAAAGAGGAAGTGATGTTTGATAACCGCAAAATTGAAGATTCCACGGACAACTCTCAAAGTTCTGAAGTAGTAGATTCTGTAATTAATGGGCCAGAAGACCAATTTCTCACGAAGAATGTGATGGGTTTTTCTTTACTTATGTTGTGTCTATTAGCAGCAGCTTCAGCTTTCATCTACTCAAGGAAAGGAAAGCCCTCCATGCCAGCGTCAGTGCCTGTGGAACAACCAGTACTGGGGAAGAAATCTGAATACAGTCCAGTGAATGTTGGCTCAAAGGATACAATCCGTGAAAGGCTATCCTCCAGGAATTGGCAGACAGAAGTAGATACGGCTAATGAGTCATGCCCATCAGAAATGAGTAGCTTCCAGAGGACCTCATCATCATCCTATAGCAAGAAAGGAATCAAGGAGTCAAATGAATATCAGAGCCAAGAAAGGAAGACTAGGATGACTTACAGGAGAGAATCTCTTGCTTCATCAGATTACTCTACCGGTTCGACTTCCTATGGTAGTTTTACCACGTACGAGAAGATACCTAGCAAGCATGTAAGTACATCATTGCTATTCATATTATATATGTCTAAAATCGTTCTTAACCACTAGCCAGACTTTGTTTCTTACACTTTCTTTCTGCTATATTTTGTTTTGAAGGGAGAAGAAGATGAGGAGATAATTACCCCAGTTGGGCGATCAAGCAGAATCAGAAATCAAGTCACTTCTCCATGATGATTGATAAATTGCATCTTATGTTTTTTACTACAATTGTCCTGCTTTGCAATTCCAATATAAATGAACCACTGTTATTGGATGCTGACATAGAGTAGAGCTTTATTGTAATTCGAGCACGTTATTGGATGGTCTTCACTGATCAATTGTGATTCTTGCCAATCTAAATTTAAATTTCTTCTTTCTTAAATGCGGTGCATTGGTGCTTCGTTGGAGATTGGTCTATAATCTTCTACGGAATTTTTTTTCCTGGTGCATTGACGTTCACTGGATATATTGAAACACAATATAACCAAAGTTTCCTTGGTTTTTTTTTCATTGCCATCTGTAATTGAAATGTATCAGTTTTCGTTGGAATGTGTTGAAAATAGTTGTGATTGGTTGCTCTTTATTTTCAAAATAGTTCTGTTTACTAGTCTCTTAAGTAGTTAACCATCTGTTAATATGGTGCATCTGCGTCACACTACTTTAAGACGATGCATGAGTGGTCAACCTGTTGAGTCCTGGGAAGCACACAAGTGTTCCACTCCTGGCCTTTGTATCTTAAACTTGGAGCTTGGCAATGGACAATCTCACCTGGACTGCATGGCGATTTTATTTAAGGTAGCTGATACTAAGAACATGATCATCTATTCTATAGCGGTATACTTTCCTATTTTTCATCAAATTACTTGGTTATTGGCGCCAAAAAAGGAGATATTTTTTATGGGTTCTTAAATGCCTATCAATTTTTTTTTCTTGGTAAATGGTCATTTTTTTGTAGGGTTCTTTTTGGCGTTTAGGAATGCCACTCAGTGCGCGACGATGGCCAAAAGCATGGCAAGCATTGGCGTTGTTAAATACAGCTGTCATGTCACATTATACTTTACGAGGCTTTCCAACTATCGCCTCGCAGTTTGTTGTTGCTGCTGTCATTGGATATTTTCGTTCAATAGCACGTGCAGCAAATGCAAAAGGTGTCGGTGACAGTCTACAGGTATATTGACCGGAAAAAAGGTTATTTCAAAATTATGCATATGCAATATCATTTTTAGGCTTAATAATAGCACACATTCTTTAATGATTGCAGTCATAATTTTCTTTCGCTATCTGTTTTCTTTGGGATATGACCCTTTTTTCTTTTACCTTATTAACCGCTGCTACTTGATAACTTTATGGAGCCTTTTTAAGCATTGTTCTTTAACTCTGCTATTTTTTTCAGGATAAACTTCGCCTTCTTACCTTGGGGTTTAACCATAGAGCTACTGCAGAAGTTCAAATGGCCCTACGGATAGGATTTGCCCATGTTAATATTAACACGCTTCTGGTTGTTTTATCTCAAATAACCATGCTATGAGAGAACTCATACAATCACTTTTGGTGCGAATTGTACAAAGTCATCCCCAGGTTTGCCTTGATTGTATATGTTCCGCTTCAAAATTGATCATTTAAGTATGTTAGCCGAAATCTTGCATTCCTCCTTTAATATGTAGACCAAGGAAAAGCTGTTAATTTGTTTCAAGTGATAAGTACGTTATGTGAAGTTGTAGGTGAGGGTTCTTTTCCCGGGAAATTGTGCCATTAGGGTGAGAAAATGTTGCCAACGAGTAATGAATGGAATTTGAGAGAGCAAATAGAGGAATGAGAATATGATGAGGCCACGTGGAGGATGAATAGAAAATGCATGTAAATAAAAAGGATGAGAGGATATAGTATGATGCAAGACAAAGGGAAGTGATACTATGTGGGAAAATAGGAGAGTTCTGGTTGTTGGATGATAAGTGTGAAAGCTAACGAGAGCTAAAATTGATAAATAGGAGGATGCAGAATGTGCTGCAACTAATAAAACAAGTCTGCAGCTGGACTTACAAAATTGTGCCAATTATCCAGAATTAGTCAAGAAAGAGGGGGATGACGTTGTTATACTTAAATTTGGACAGCCACAACGACCTTGACAAACTAAGCTTTTCCCACTGACCTCTAAATTATGAAAGATGGGCAAAATTAGTTACAAAAGGAAAAGAAAATATTAACATCCTCATAAGGCCTCCTTAATATAGCTTGCTGATCTAGCCAAATTACTTTACAACATTAATTAATTGTATTAATCTAAAACTGGTATTCGATCTCTTGAGAGTATCAATTCTTCTGAATTTGGGATTATTGCCACCTTTCATGCAGGACAACAAACCTTTTAGTCATAGTTGGGCTTGGATATTTGAGGAATATAGTATAGCATGGAAAGTATTGAAATAGGGAGTTCGAATAAATATTGAAAAATGGCACGTCCGTTCGAACCATGGGGTGAGGACTGTCTTTTCTTTTTCAATTTTTTACGGGTAGGTGGTGGAAATTACTTTTTTTGTCGAACCTCATGAGGGTTTGTGCAGTTCATCCAAAGTTCTATTCAATCACTTGAATTTTACCTATTTTGAATTGAGTACATCAGTTTGTCGCATAGCATAATGCAAGAAACTAAATGCTGAGAACACTTCTGCATAACTTAATTGAAACTCTTGGTGCTGTAACTGCCTCAATTCAAATTTTGTGAGCCTCAAAGATGCCGAGCTTATTTAGGTAAGGAATGTTTGTTGACTAAATCATTGAATTTTAAATATGTTCGAGTCATTTCCTAGGTGGTGTTTGTGGTAGCAGAAACTGTTGAATTTATTGAGCGGGCGATATTATTACTCGTGGTTGGGGGTAAAATTGTCTGTCTTTAACTGTGCTTGTAATCTGGGGTACGTTTGTCACCAACATTTTGTGGAACCTCTGGTTTGAAACTGTCTAGCTTTAGGCTTGTCCTTTGAGGTCTCCATCTATTATAAATACTCTTTGTCAAATAGGGATGCTAATTAGAATATATTGGTGGCTCATCACTTTTTGCCTGTGGGTTATCAGAAGCATGGGATATTTCCTAATTATTTCTTGAATTCATTAGGCATGAGATCTCTATTATCATATTTTCCGGAGGATAGACAAGCAACTTCGAAGTCTTTTACTACCCTGGACCTGCAGGCGAGTATCGATCTCTATAATTCTTCACAATTCATTAATGCATAACTTTTCATTTTACAGGCTACAGTCTGTTTCTCCTGAGTTGGTAGAATGCTGTGATTTAGAGCTCGCAGTCCCTGGGACATACCGTGCAGGTAAGCTCAATGGTTGTTTACATGGATGTCTTGGTATAAATATGAGTGGCATAACTAAAAATAACCCCGTATCGTGCAGGTAAGCTTGACGTCATAATTGCTAACTGCACCCTCGGAAATTGACTATTCATGGGAGTGATGGTGAAGATTATGCCTTCTCACTAAAAGGACATGAAGATCGTCGCCAAAATGAATATGTCATGCAGGTATTTTTTGCTTTCTTGTCCGTTTCCCTTTTTGTATTTCACATTTATGCATGTTGATGATTCTATGGTTTGTGTGCTGGTGTTTGGAAGCTAACATTTTTTTTGCTGTCTAAAATAAAACTATAATTTATTATTTTGCATATTTCCTGTACTGAGAGCTAATGAGAGCTAATATCCCTCGATGGACAAATTGTCAGCCTTTTTTGGCTTAGTGAACACTTTGCAACAGGAGTCTAGAAAAACTGCAGAGAAAGATTTATCTGGTCAGAATATGTTGTCATACCACCATGTCTAAGCAGGAGGTTGATTGGATGGGTTCCCTAATTGTGATACCTTACACCACCTCATAAGGGAATACAGAGATGCCAGAAGGTTTGGTTGAAGTTCCTCATGTACTTTATTTTAGTTTTATAGCCCAACTATAATATGTTTGTTCATGGCATAAAAATCACATTTAACTTTACATGTGCTTTTCAGATTACCCTAAATCAAGAGCACAAACATATGGTAAGTATTGCACCAGATTATGACCACTTACGACTTGCACAGTATAATGGTTATTTCAAAATGAGTTTAGGTGTTAATTAGTACCATGGTTAGAGAAGTTGCAAAGGGAAATTTCTCACGAAACAAACAGGATGGAGATGAAGAACTAGAAGACCAAGAGAATGAAGCTTTTGAAAACTTGGAAGTGGATTCAGAAGAAACTGATGAAGTGCAGCTAAGAATTGAGGCTGAGATGATTGAACTGAATCAGTCAAGGGAGTTGATTTTACTGCTCAGATTGATACTGAACATTAGAGCAAGGTGGACCTTCAAGACCAGCCAAGCATAATCCTACAGGTTACTGAATTTCAACTTGATATATCAAAAACTGGGGACCCTAAAGAAGAAGTGATGTTTAATAACCTTAAAATTGCAGATTCCACTGACCACTTTCAAAGTTCTGAAATAGTAGATTCTACAATTACTAATTAGTGGGCCAGAAGACCAATTTTTCACAAAGAATGTAGGAGTTTAGTGGGCCAAAGGACTATTTGTGTTGTGTCTATTAGCGGCAGCTTCAGTTTTTGTCCATGAGGAACAACCAGTACTGGGAAGAAATCTGAATACAGTCTAGTGTTAGTGGACGCAAAGGATTGGCAAACAAAAGTAGATATGGCTAATAAGTGATTCCCATAAAAAATGAGTAGTGGCTAGAGGGCCTCATTATCGTCTTACAGTAAGGAAAAACTGAAGGAGTCAAATGACTATCAGAGCCAAGAAATGAAGACTAGGAAGACTTACAGGAGAGAATCCCTTGGTTCATCAAATTACTTATTTGGTTCACGAAATTTACGATTCTCTTATCTTATTATTTATAACGTAATTCTTACATTTGGTTTGCGAATTTTCCCTCACATTTGAAATTTTTAACATTTTCAAAAGTGTCAAGAAGGAAAAAAAATAGCTTGTCAAAAACCTTCATTTCTCTAAGGCTTTTTTTAAGATTCTTGATAGAAAATAAAATTTATCTCACTTTTGCCTTAATAATTGGTGGTTATGGTCTATTCCTTTAATATCATAGAAATTACATGATAAACTATGATCCAACTGATAACTCTATAAAATAGAGCTATTCTCAATATTTAATATCTTAATTTTGCTTTTTTTCTTGGTGAAATAATGCTATTCTACCTCTAATGTGTTTATTTTGCTTTTGTGTAGGAAATCTTTTTTAAGATTAAATTTTGATAAATCTTGACAAGTTTTGAAGAGTCTTTGTGAATCAATATGTTCCTAGTACATTTGTGAATCTTGACAAATTTGCTTCTTGGCAAAACTTGATGAATATTGGAGTGGAAGTGTAAATTTTTGTTCAGAATAAAATTAGTTATGTTGCACCTAAGATTTAAGAATGTGTTGAATCTTAAAGTTAAATGTATGAAATTCATGCTCTAATCAAGAAAATACAATGATAGGTGTTAAGTGGAAGTGCAATGATGTATACAGCTGAGGCATACTAATTTTCAATGATGTATACACGATCCGATCAATTCAATCAAGCTTTGCCATCTATTTTCATTGTTCAACACTTTGACTACATGAAATAACCAAAAGCTTTGCCCTCCCTTTCTATCTATCCATGGGACGGAAAGGCGGAGGCCTTTCCCTCCAATCAAGCCTTATAATCACTAGCCATATGCTTTTTTTTTTTTTTTGTTGAATGCCATTTTTCATTCATGGTTTCATATTCTAGTGTTCTAGGTGTACGGGAACAACTCCAATCCATCTCAAACTTGGTGGTTAAACCTTACTGCAATGACAATACAACAAGGGAGGTCT